ACAAAACTCCATCAACATCATCCATCTGACCTACAAATCTTCTCCACCACAGCATGATCAACACTAAATTCATAGAACCAGTTACTTCCTTAAAATCAATCAAATTAAAAGGGGGAACAGTTAGAGAAATTAAATATTCTAAATAAAAAAATACACAACAGGGAGTCTTATAGATATAAATAAGATTTATGAAGCACAACACAATCTAAGCATACATCTATACATCTATGTTGATAAGTTTCAAAGTTATGTCTACATATTGGATATTTGTATTTGTTTACGAACATGAACCTAATGCATTTACAGTAAATTATATAGTTACAAACTGACATTAGTGATTAAGGATAGTGTTTTTTTTGTGTTACCAATTAAGAATATATATATATATATATATATATATATATATATATATATATATATATATATATATATATATATATATATATATATACCCCAATCTATCTTTATTCTAAATAGCTTAGTACATACATGTATATTACCTGCTACTACCACGTCTTTGCACAATATTTAGGAGCCTAAAACTAAAAAATGATGAATGTTACTTTATCAAATATTTGTTTTTTTTAATTTGTAAGGATTTTCGAATTATCCGGTTTAATTTTGATCAACTTTAGTTAATCTATGTACATCATGTGTTGGTTTCTTTGTACTTCCAAATAACGAGTCTCATAAGATTTGGTCGAAATAAGAATAACAGATAGTTATGTGCATACTTAGAGTCAGTCCATGATATTACTGTTAGTCGTCTTAGGTGTTTCAGAATTTCTGTTTAGAATCTAGACAATGATTATATTCAGTATTTAACGACCTTAGGTATCATTGGTCAAAGTCGGTTGGGGTGGTCCAGATGTTTGTATTTTTTGATATTTTCCGTCTTAATTTTTAAGATTATTTCCTACTGATATGAACCTTGATAATTTTTATTGATGCATATTTATGCCGCGCCCTAAGTTTTTCAGTACTGATTAATATCTCATGGAAAGGGACCAGTTTAATACTGAAGTAATTCATGTGGCTGTTTCATAAATAGATCTCGATCTCATTTGTCAGATAATTGGTAGGGAGATTTAATATCAGAAGGGGTTTTGTGGAGATTTTAGTAATTTCACAGATTGAAATCATGAGTCAATTGAAGCTAGACCAGCATGGAAAACCTGAAAGCACTGGACGGCTGTTTCGTCCTAGTATGGGACTCCTCAGCAATGGGCATCCACGACCCTCGCGGGATTCGAACCCAGGACCTATCCGTCTCGTGCCAGGCGCTTAACCTAATTTCGCTGTCACTGGCCGTCACAAATTGTGCTTACTGATAAATAAATTATATTGGAAATTATCGCTTGTAATAATTTTTCTCTGAACAAAATGATTTTATATAGATGTTAACTATTGATTTATTATTAAGGAATCCAATCACATGAACAAAACCGATTTGGCTTCATCGACATCGATAATTTTCAAACTGACGCTATTTGGGCATTCATATCAATTAAATATCCAATAGAAGGTCAGTCGCGACCAGATTGACTCAGTCGTAACCCATCACACTGGAAGCTGAGTAGTGCATTTAGAGCTTCAGCTTCTCTGAAAATGGAAGTATAGTTTGCTAATGAGTGTGATCTGCAACGAAATTTGAATCAAATGTGGTTTTCTGTCGTCTACCTTCAAAAGTATACATGAAATCGAGTCACTTGGGCTAGCGGTCATATAGCAACTTGGCTACTAGAATTCGATCAGTACTAAAGGACTAAACAAACATGACATCGGTTACCATACTCAGTGATCCATGATCCCGCAACTCGCGAGATTCGAACCCAGGACTTTCAGTCTCACTAGTAACTGACTTCACTAGATACTCCTGGAGTTCTAGTGAGAAGCCATTACCAGTGGAGTTCAACCAGGTCTGTTGTGAGATATCAACTCACTGAAGACGGTGGCGCAACTTCATTGATTGGTTGAAGTTAGACATTAACACCATTGGATGCCGGCTCAATGGTCTAGTTGATCAAGCTCTCGCGCACAAGACTGGTAGGTCTTGGGTTCGAATCTCGCGGGGTGCAGGGTCGTGGATGCGCACTGCTGAGAAGTCCCATACTGGGATGAGACGACCATCCAGTGCTTCCAGGCTTTCCATGGTGATCTAGCTTCAATTCACTCATGATTTCAATCTGTGAAAAAGAAATTTTGTCTACATTTATGTGAAATTGGTAATACATTTTGTAAATCTGCCAAAAAAGGAAGCGAACATTGATTGTCTCTGTATTTATTCATATGATATGCTAATTATAGACTAAATATGTATCAACTAACAAACTTATTATTAGACTATTAACTAGTCAATATTATTAGTAGTGTGTTTAGTTTGATGGTTATAAAAAACATATATACATGGATTAGTTTTAATATTTCAGTTTTAATACTTGTTATCAGTATAGGGTTGTGGAGATTACCATGTGCTCACTAGTGACTAGCTTTGTGAAGGAATTCTTGGAGTTGTAGTGAGAAGCCGTGAGCAGTGGAGCTAATCCATTTCGGTTAGAAACATGTATTTACCTCATTATAATGGAAGATGGTCGCACAATAGGGCGAAACGGCCGTCCAGTGTTTCCAGATTTTCAGTGGTGGTCAGTCAATTCAAGATTTCAGTTAATAATTTAATACTTGTATTTTTTCGAGTAAAGCATTAAATTACTTGTGTTTGCTCATGAGATTTTACACACATATAGGTAGAAAATTATATACTTACCCTTTTTGATTCGATTTATTTCAATGTTATTTATAACATTGTAGATGAATTCATGTTCATGTTAATAACGACAATTTTGCTTAAGTGCGAAATGGTTTTTGTATTGTTATGTTTCTTGAAAGAGTGGTTTTAATTTTTATTGGACTTCAACTGTTTCAATGCTCTATCAACTAATCATCTTATATATTGATGTATTTTCTTCATATTCATCTAGAAGTTAGTGCTGTTAAGTATTATAAAGCTTTAAGTTATTGCTATATTGTGTCCCATTTTCACGTTATCACGTGTTATCATACAATTTGTTTATTATTGTTTGCCAAAGAATATGCTATAATTGAGACCGCATTTATACTTATATACAGCTGTTACCCCTTGTAGTAGCACAAGCATCCTACCAGGATTTTCCGATCAACTCTGTCCTGGGCTCTCCTTCTAGTCGTTTCCAATTCCCATTCATTCTCTTGATTCCTGCCTCCAATAATCGGTGTAATGTGTTCTCAGGTCTTTCTTCTTCCCTTTTGCCTTCAGGTTTGCTTCATCATGCAGTTTGATGATTTCCACGACGTATGTCCTATCCACTTCCAGCGTTTCTTCCTAGTTTCCTTTTCAGATGAAACCTGGTGTGATTTGTTTGGTGTTCTCTGTGCCGTATTTGAGGATTTTGCTTTTACCCTTGTGTATGTTGAGGCTGCTGTTACACTAGTTGTTTTCATCGGCATTTATTGCTGTGTATGAGCTGGAAGAGCCAAGTCGTCTGCGAAGTCCAAATCGTCTAGCTGCATGCAAACTGTCCATTGTATTCCGTGCTTCCCGTCAAATGTGTAGGTTTTCATAATCCAATCGACCACCAGAAGAATGATGAGAGGGGAGAGTAAGCAGCCTTGTCTGACTCCGATTCTCATTTGGAATGCATCTGTTTGCTGTCCTCCATGCACGACTTTGCAGTGTAATCCGTCGTATGAGTTGCATATGATGTTGACGATCTTCCCAGATACACCATAATTTTGAATAAGGTTCTGTTATCTCTGTCATATGCTTTCTCATAATCAAGGAACTTGATGTATGGTGACGATTTCCACTCAATTGATTGTTCAACGGTGATCCATAGCGTTGTGATTTAGTCTGTTCACTATCGATCCTTACGAAATCTAGCTTGTTCATCTCGAAGTCCCAAATGTCTACAACTTATGCAATAAAATAGTAGTATCGTATGTAATTGGAACACAAAATCAATAATTATGTCTGCAGAAAAATTTCAGACAATTTTTGTTTGACGTATCCTCCATTGTTTAACAGCTTCTTTTTACGTTTATTCATGTTTTAGCGTGTAATTTTTATGGCATGAGTTGAATTAGACATTTGAAAATGACTTGACCGTAGTTCAGTTTTATAAAATCTACCAAAATATTTCAACTAAGTGGTCGTAGCATCAGAATTGCGCATTCATACTAATGTAGGATTGTCAGTCGCAAGCAGCGCAAATATATTTATCAGTCCAAGCTGCTAGACGACATCAGCATATCAAGGTGAATACCAAGGTTGTAGAGGTGGTACTGATAAAAGTATCAGTTGCGTCAGATTCTGATTCATGTCACCTTACATCTCGAAGCATCAGCCATAGTAATCTCTTGAAGCCTAATAAAGTAGTTTTTCTCTGCCAGCATAGATAATGACAAGATTTATTGAATTCATTGACTGATGACATGTTTTGGTTTTTCCAATCCCATCTTTCTCTCAACCTTATTTGTTCACTAGTCAATATTGCAAGTTTAAGTTGATGGTGATTTGGAAAACGTATTACATGCGCAAATCACTTCAGTCGATGACGATTTACCGTCTTACCACATTTACATAGTACCCTTCTTTAAACTTTACCATTCATCAATCTGACTGTAGATGACCAATATAGTGCTGCTAATGCTTATATTTTAGTCAAACAAATCCCGACGGTCTGTCGATCGATATAAAGTTGAATTGTGTTATGGCGTTAAGAGTAATTCATACTGGAGCTTTTATTTACAACTAGATAGAAATCTAGGTTTCAGGTTTCTTAGGGATTGACTTAAACCTATGCAAACAATATCGAGTTATTTGAATTAGTGACCACATCGATAATTGGTCATTGGAATTTAATCAACACTAAGAATTAGTCACAACTATTCATTGACTAAACAATGTCAAGTTTAATTGCTATATTAACAATGCGGATTCCTGTTTTCTAAAAATTTTATTTTAGTGCAATGACTGTATGGGGTGAAGAGAATGAAACAAATGCATATTCGAATTTACTTAATTTGTATCCTGATGGAACATTTGCCTGTGTGTCCGATAGTTATGATATATGGAATGCATGCAGTAATATATGGGGTGAGGCACTACGTGATAAGGTAGGTCGGTAATGAATAAGTCATTACTGTAGATAATTTGTTTTGTTATTTTTCTTGTGAAAAAAACACGCTTGTATTACTACGTGTATGTATGAATTGGCCGTATCGTGTAGTAGGGGTCAAACATGCAACTTATTGATTGATTACCTAATGCTAAATCGCATACACTTGTCAATTTAATAACTTTTAGGTTCATACCATACATTTTCTCTGATTCTTTTAAAGTGTTATTTTCAATTATGGAGAAGAGTAGCATAAGTTAACTATTCCGGTTGATGCTTCCTAATCTTATTATATGGAGCAGCTGTATCCAGTTATGTGTATGCACCGTAATATTAGTGTAATTTTGGAAAGATATATTGATACTAGCAGTTTCATTTCTTAATCTATTTATTTATGCTTTGTAGCCTTATACTAAGTTTAAAAGATGTACTGCATTATTTTCATTGGGATCTTTCATAGGGGCAATGAAACATTTCACAACCAGTCCTTTCTTGATTCAAATTTTCAACTGAATGGAATTGTTTACATTTTTGTAGACTAAAATGGTCAGCCATAAGGAATATAAGATCTAGGACAAATGTTCAATAACTCAAGTTATTAAAGCCTGTATCGACATAATCTTAGGAAATTGATAGAATGATAAGTAAAATTAGTTGGGCTGATAATAATAATAGGTTACAAAGAGCATACAGAATGTAGCTAGACAAAAGCAAATAAAATTAGAGAATGGCACATTATTAGGATCTAAAGATGCTCATCATTCGGCGAAAAATGAACAGTCTATTCACCTGTTACCGATTTTGTGCCATGTCACAATTTACCAATATCTTAATCATTTCACTCAAAAAGTCAGTAGCTCCTAAAACTGATGAGGATGGTAGTTACAGTAGTTTCATGCACTGATACCACTTCCTAGTCTCCTCCTACGTAATCTTTTGCAAACTATACGTATTCTAATCAGCATATCATGTCGAGGTTGGGAATGGTTATTCATGTGTAACAACAAATGTAATAACCATCTCAATCAATACATGTTCACACACTCATTCTACAATAGAAAAGGTTATCTCTACTAATGTTATCTTTATTAGATGTATGTTGAAAGTAATGAAAATACCCTTTTATGTTGAGATAATCTTTATTAAAATCGTAATTTCACTTATTCAACAAAGTTTTTTTGTTAGTAATTTAATTAATGCATAGTTAGCATCATGCTAGTCAAAGACACTGAAATATTCAACAATTAGAAATTTTCTTTTAAATCATTCTTTCTGTCTACTCATATACTAAAATTAATTTATCTGTCATGTTACTACATTCGGTAAATTTTAATCATTTATTTATTCAAACACACAAATATTAGTACAAGGAAGCACCAAATATATATATACAGCACACAAAGTAGTTATCATTAAATTTGTGAATGAGCTGAGATAATACACGGGCACCCAAATCGAACAAGGTGGTTTTTCCTAGGGAACTATTCCCTAAGCCTATGACCCAGATGTCCAATCCATAAGACAGTGGAGTAACGTTAGAAGATGCCGTTTCATGGTAACCAGTAACCAACAATAGGTTCATACATCATTTGTTTCCTTAGGATACTGGAGCCCATGTACACTATTGATTTGAAATCAATGTTTTCCAACACCCGTAAGTGGATCCTGTATATTCGCCAACCCGGTTAAAGCGTCAGATATTCACTTTTTTTTTCTTAATTTCACAAACAACAATCTCATTATAAGACAGTATGAACTTACATGGTAGTGGCTGTATTACCATAAGATAAACATAATAATTATTAACATCATTACTTTTTGCTTCGTACATGACCGTACATATTATGATAGCGTAGTTAGTAAATTAAGTTATTTGTTCGGTTCTGAAGATTTCAATGAAATGAATCATCTATCTATAATATGTATGGAGTATCTATTACTTTTTAACTTGTTATCTATAAGGTTTATATGCATATATTTCACTTACTTACTTACTCATGTTACTCCTAATGTAGCAGAGACCGCCAACCAGCATTCTCCAACCCACTCTGTCCTCCGCCTTCTTTTATAATTCCATCCAATTCTTGTTCATTTTTCTCATGTCTATCTCCGTTTCCTGGCGTAATGTGTTCTTTGGTCTTCCGCTTTTCCTTTGGCCTTAAGGATTCCTTGTGACGGCTTGTCTTATGACGCAGTTGGGTGCTTTCCTCAATGTGTGTCCTATCCACTCCCAATGCCTCTTCCTAATTTCTTCCTCCGCTGGGATCTGGTTTGTTCCTTCCCACAGTTGGTTGCTGCTAATAGTATCCGGCCAACAGATCCGAAGTATTTTGTGTAGACAACAGTTTCTGGTTACCGTCAACGTATGATGATAACTGAAGTTGTAGTGTATATCAAAAAGCACAAGTAGTAAACCAAAACATCTATAATGTTATTGCTTAGGAAACTAATTATAACTATTTTCATTTCAAAGTGTAAACGATTATCTTAGTTAAAGACTATGAAACTGCCGGTAAAATTAAATCTATTCAATACTTTTCAGTTTTTCCGATTTATTTAGCAAGGAAATTGTTAGGAGACAGTTATTGATAACAAGATATTTTAAACAATAATGTACATATATTCATGAAATGTTTATTCTTCACCAAAAGAATTACATTCTATAAATTCACTTGGTACTGTTTACTTGAATCTTTCCATTAATCAGTCACTCATTGACATATGTGCATCCTGTGCAGATCACCTCATTAATGCCTTACGTCAGAAGCTTTTTTAAACAAAGATGAATAGTGGTTAGCAGTGGAATCCAGGATGCGTGTTTCATCCTATTTGTCACTCGTCAACTGGATGTACCTGAATCTCAGAGTTGATGTTCACTCTGGGACTCCGTCCGACCAAGTACCGTCTGCTGTAAACACCAACGCGTTATTCACTTACCTATTGATTCCTGTTAGTCACTTGTGTAATGAGGTGAAATTATATAAGCTTAGTATTGTTTTACTTGTGTCTTCCCAATTTTTATTTAGGACTGCAATTGATGAGTCACTTATTTGCATCTGTCCATCATATTCGGATTGCCTCGATATTACCTTAACTCACAAGTACTTTAAGCAAAGATAGGTAGTGGTTATCAGTGTAATCCAAGATGCGCATATTCTCCTTACTTACTTACGCCTGTTACTCCTAATTGAGCCTAAGCTGCCGAACAGCATTCTCCAACCCATTCTGTTCTCCGCCTTCTTTTCTAATTCCATCCAATTCTTGTTCATTTTTCTCATGTCTATTTCCATTTTCCGGCGTAATGTGTTATTTGGTCTTCCTCTCCTTCCTTGGCCTTGGAGATTCCATGTGAGGTCTTACCTTGTGACGCAGTTGTGTGCTTTCTTCAATGTGTGTTGTAACCACTTCCTGATTTCTTCCTCCACTGGAATCTCGTTTATTCTCTCCCACAGGACGTTGTTGCTAAGTGTCCGGTCAACGGATTCTGTGTATTTTGCGTACACCACTGTTAATAAACACTTGTATCTTCTGGATGATGGCTTTCGTAGTTCTCCAGGTTTCTGCTACATATAGTAGAACTGTCTTGACATTTGTATTGAAAATCCTGACCTTGGTGTTGGTTGGCAGTTGATTTGAGTTCCAGATGTTCTTCAGTTGTAAATGTGCTGCTCTTGCTTTGCGGATCCCCACTTTCACATCTGCATCAGATCCACCTTATTCATCAATGATGCTGTCCAAATATGTGAAGGTTTTTTCATCTTCCAAATCTTCTCCGTCAATTGTGACTGGATTGGTGCATGCTGTGTTGTAATGGTGAATCTTACTTTTCCCTTTGTGTATATTGAGACCTACTGCTGCTGAGGATGCTGCTACACTGGTCGTTTTCTCCTGCATTTGTTGTTGCGATTGCGATAGGTGGGCGAGATCATCTGCGGAGTCTAAATCGTCGAGCTGCATCCTAGATCTCCACTGTATCTCGTGCTTCCCTTCAGATGCTGACGTCTTCATGATCCAATCGATCACCAGGAGAAAGAGAAAGGGTGAGAGTAAGCAACGTTGTCTGACACCGATCTTTACCTCTAACGAGTCTGTCAATTGTCCTCCATGCACAATTTACATGTACATACACATATATATTTCAATGATATTATTATTATATTCATTTTATAGTGTGTACTTTTGAAAGTTTTCATAAACCTCATGATTTTGACAAGTCATAACTGCCGCATATCGGTTTTTTGTTAATGTCAATTATGTTTATGTATTCTTCATTTTTATTTTCTAAACACTGTCATGATATTCACGTTTTCTTTGTTTTGTGGATTTCATTATTCAATATGATTTGATAATAATGTATTCTGTTAGTAGTATTATCACTTATCAATTACAGTATCATTAATATTATTATTATCATTATTGTTTATTGAAATGTCTACATAATATGTATAGTATCATCAAAATGTCAGTTCGTGATCATCAAAATGTTAGTTTCAAAATCTAATTTTCTTCTCATCGACATTTCAAACAAATACTACTACTACTACTAATAATAATAATAATAATAATAGTTTCGTTCTAGTCTTTTAACAATTCAATACTATGAAGTCACCTATGATCTCATCAGGAATCGAACCCAGAACCTTGGGTGTTCCCCTTGTAAAAGTATTGTTAAGTAGAAACCCTATAGTGTGTATTCTCAGTGAATTTAGCATATTACCCTAATCATCATTATCTAATACGATTTCTCATTGAACTAAATACACTAACCACGAATTCTGATTGTAGTAATAGGAATTTTCTCTTGAGATTGGTAGTCATTAAATAGTTTAACGATCATTGTCAGGATAACATACTTGTAAATATAGATTACTTATTTTACATTAAAGATAATTACTTAAACTGGAAATTTATTGAGATTATATATGTATGTTTGATAATTTAAATGTAATGTGTTTTTCGCGACACTTGAAGCTTCTAGATTCAATCTCTGATGGAGAA